CCCTCTCAATCATCCCCCAATTAAAAAAAAAAAAAAGAAACGAAATCCATTTGGATTCTTCTTTCACCGATGGTCATTCCCACCTTGCCACGTGTCATCAATCAGCAATCGAGACTTCAACAAAACCATTAGGGCATACTCAGACGAGGTCCTTCGGGGGCCAAGTCCCACTTACGCTTATCCTTGATTTCTGGTCGTTGATCTTCCGAATCTGCGGTCAAAAATCGATCATTCGGGTAGGTGGGACTTGGCCCCGGGACATCCGTTAAAATTGGAGCGATACAGAGAAGATTGATTAGCATGGGCCATGGGGGCGTGCGGGGGGGGGGGGGGGGGAAAAAAAAAGGAGGGAGGAAAAAAAAAAAAAAAAAAAGAAACTCACACGAGGCCAGATACATTTAGGAAATTGCTACTGGTCGTGTGCGTATGCCCTCAGACACTAGTGCTACCTGGTAGTAAAGGTTACGCCACTGAAAGAAAAAAAAAAAAAAGAGGTTACGCCACTAGAAAGCTCAGGTGTTACTTTAAGCCCAAGACGGAGAGGGGAAAAAAAAAAAAAAAAAAAAAAAAAAAAAAAAAAAAGCTCATGCCGCGTGCGACACATGAGGTAAGCGGAGGTAGCAGCTCATATTTCTTTTTCCTTCCCTTTTTTTTTCGCTTTATTCTTCACTGAATTCCACCTTTCACTACCTGGCTACCACACTACTCCTAAGCCTCCTATACAGTGGCCGCCTGCGAACATAGCTTTCTACCTCTCACAGTGCATGTTGTCCCCTTCTTCCCCCAAATACAACATTCGGTCATTTTAGCCGTATTTGAGGTATATGTCCGTCTAAATACAGCTATAATGACCGTACGTTGTATTCGGGGGAAGAAGGTAATCGGCCGCGGTCAGGGAGTAGGGTGCGGCCACCGGTGGCTAACGCAATGACCGAGCATTTTGCCAAGAGGTGCGCCTCCCATCTACTTCCCCCCCTCCCCCCCCCATCTACTTCCCCCCTTCCCCCCCCTTCCCCCCCCTTACACCCCCCATGAGTAACAGCAGTGGCTATGGCCAGCACTCTCCTACACACAGCCGACACGCAGTCTGAGAAGACCGGGAAAAAAGAAAGGACACAGCGCCTATTCGAGTCGAGGAGGTGCCCTTCAATACCACCCACCCACATGCGATAAACGACTGGATTCTCGACGTCGAGACCCGCCAACCCCCGGCTGCTGACGTGGAGACACGTGGCCACATCGACGACTGGACACGTCACGCACTTCCTGAACGAATAGAACACGGGCTGCCGAGGGTGCTACATCCGTTGAGCAGAGACTGCTGATGTTCATAGCGGGAGGGGACCGGAGGGGAGGCCCAGTGACTGGCCCATCGAAGAAGCTCGGTCCTGATGCTACCGGCTGACCCCTGGCCGGTATCGCCCACCTGCTGTAGCAGGTATCGCACCTGCTGGT